AACTTACAGAAAAACTATTCAAAAAATTCTAAAACTTTTCGCAATAGCCCTGTGTCTAAAAATTCGTTTGTTAAAAGTTTAGAACATGGCCAAAAGTATGTAATAAAAAATCGACAACCTCAATTTAAACTTAAACATTTATTGATAAAAAAAGGCTCTATATACATTTTTTTCATGAAAAGATTTGAAACAATCCAAAAGTTGTGTTTGTTTTACAAATTTTGCATCTGTTTTATTTTAACAGATCCTGAAAATAATGTTCCTAACTTTGTCTTATCATGTTTTGGTTGTCGAGGGTTGAGTAGTAGATATGTTATCACAATGTTTCTTGTAAACCCTATGGATACAACTTTCAACAAATTCGTCAGCGTTAGATTAAATTTTATTTTTATTAGATTAAACTCATTTTTTTGTAGCTGAGTGTTATCTGAAAATGTAAATTTTGTAAAATTTCTCTAAACCTATTTCTCGACATTGCGTTAGCGATTGGCATCGTTTTTGAGATCCAAATCCAAACTCCACTACATATCTTTTCTGGGCTTTTGAGAATAACCAGAAATCAGTAGGATTGTAAAGAACATTTTGAGTTCTTCAATCGTAACCTCAAATGATGTGTCTGCATTTTTCTGTCGGGCATATGTTATAGTCTTGTCTTTTATGTATTCAAAGAAATCATTGAAATTCACATCACCCGATGATTCAGAATCTCCATCAGAATCTTCCGCTGGAGGATAAATGTATATGTCTGCAGAATCAAACTGCTTCTCATTTAGGTCATCAATTAGATTGTTCAGAGTATCAGCTGAATAACTCGTTTTCTTTACTTAAAATGTTTTTACATTCATAATTCTATAACTAGTACTCCGGTCAAAATAGACATTGAAGGTTACATTAATTCGCACCTTCCTAAAAATTGGCATGATTGTTGGGAACCCTATTATACACAATTTGTCAATTATCCACATCAATCCGGAGTGTGGAAAAAAATTTATTCAAGGTCAAATGTTGCAAAAATCGGTTTTTTGAGTTTTTCAGCTAAACGGTAAGTTTTATAATAAAAATAGGTGAGACAAAAATGATTCATCATGCAATTATCTATAAAAATTGTTCCTACATATTTTTTCCTAAGAATCACCATTTCGAAGATACAGCGATGCAAAATGGTGAAAAATAGTAGTTTTATATTTTCAGATTAGAAATTGTTAGTGGGATATTAGGTAAAAATTAAAAGGTCTTTAGAAAATAAAATCTTTATTTAAACTAATATACTGAAGACAGTCTATCTTTTCTTTGAATGGTATTTGCGAAACAATCTCCTATGCATAGTCCAGCTTTTTCGTCACAATCAGCACACTCGTAAATTGTGTTTTTCCTAATTTTATGGATAGAACATATTCTACACAAATATTTGACATGGGTGTGGGCTGTGTTCAATATGCGTTAGTATTGAAAAACGTATACTTGGACCAGGTTGGACCATACGTGGGCTGCGCGTGGGATGTGCGTGGGCTGTGCTCAATTTGCGCCGGGCCTTAATGTCTTTTGCACTTAATAGTAAGCCATCGGTTACCCAACTGTCTTCCCCTCTACAATGTAAACTGCATATTCGTTTGCCCCTTGAAGCTGGAACATTACCTTTGCACTTTAAATTGTCATTACTCTAACCTTTGCCAATTGCTTAGTTGGTGTTAAACCACGTTTCATCTAAATAATAAGTAATAAATTTTTCTCCAGCTATTTCTGTACTCGGTAATCTTTTAAAAAATTCTGTACGCCATTTTATTAAACGGACACTTTCCATTATAGTATGTTGTTTATTGATTGTTTTATATTTAAAACCATTTAATAGTAAAAATTTTCTTAAAGATGATTTACAGCCATTAATAATATGTTTAGATTTTAATTCAGTTAAAATTTGGTTAAGTATGGATATAATATTACCTGCAAACATATTATAAATGGTTTCTGAAATGGGAACTAAAAGACGTTGCTCAATAGATCAATGTAGTCCAAAGTCGCTCTTTTTTTTGTCTATTTGTAATGCCCTCCTTTATAATTCGATATACAGTAGCACATAAATTTTTGTTAAAGCCGCAGTTTTTAAAACACTCTCGTGCCGTTCCAATTTTTCACATAATCCATTAAACACATTTAACACAATTTCTTTAGCGTCTGTCGATAAATGTTTTTTTTTTGCTTTTACTTCCTCTACTTGGTCCAGCAACAGTTTCAAGATTATTTGGTGATAGAATTTTCTCATTTTCTTCAACAATTTCTACTTCATTATTCTCAACAATTTCGAATGCACTATTCTCCCATGGACGCCACATTTTTATTTACTTAATATTTTTCTGATCGCGAAATTGTCACTAATAAATGCGTGCTCTCTTTATAGAGTTTAAACTAAAAATTATATGTATAACAATACCGAAAGCCACATCAGTCTTGTTATCGGTCGTTCAGAAGTTCGTGGAAATTTAAAAACCTTGATCGGCACAACAAGGCTGTGAAAAGAACCCGACAATCGAGTAAGAGGAGTCATAAACTTTTATTGAAAGGTATAGAAAGGGGCTTACCTCGGCAACTTTTAGTAGTAGCGTAAATAAAAATATTAAAAATTATTAAAATTTTATTGTGATTTAAGATTATATTGATTAAATAGACCTAACAGTTATAATTATTAAAATATAATATATTTATAATTGTACCTAACGAAATTTTATTTTACAGTAATTATTTTTGCATTTTTCTGAATACTTTCCTGAAAAAGGGCAAAATATTAAAAAGGAACTATTAAAACAGATGTCATTTGATCTAAGCACATGGAGATATTTTGTTCGGTACCACTTATACATCAATTGGTCTATCTCTTTAAATTTCTCAATTATCTGTAACCGAGCATCAAATGAACTTTTCAGAGCCGCTGTCTCAAAAGTCCGAATAGCTATGATGATTGCCGACCTCAGGGTTGCCAGATGATTTTTTTTAATTCCCTAGAATTTTTGCCCAAATTTTTCCTAGATTTCCCTAACAACTTGACAACCATATTTAGCCTAGAATGGACCACCTAAGTCGGACGTCAGAATGAGCGGGATTTTTAAAAACCTTTCCAAACATTTCTAATTTAAGTTTATTGGTCACATAAGAGTTGGAAATATTGGTATTTTAATTGTTTGTAGAATAAATAACGACTTTTGGTTATGAACATTCATTCTGTGCGATTGGTATTATTTGTTGTTCGTGAATTTGTGAGGTAAGAATCCTCATCAATCTTTTCTCCTTCGTAAGGATATAGTAGCGTCATGTAATTTTATTAAATATTTTTGTCCAATTATCTCTTTCCTGTGCGTGTTGTTTTGCTTCGGAGAATGAATAACCAGTCATCCCTTTTTATTTGGTCCGACCATCGTACTGGAGATCTTCCTCTGGATCTTTTACCCCCTACGTTACTTCAACTATCATTTGCTCTATGCCTTCTCTTCTTCTAGTTAATGTCCAAAATATCTCAGTATATTTGGGTTGATAGTTGTGATGAGTCTAATTTTATGTTAAGTTCTGCTAGAGTTGAGTTATTTGTGCGATAAGCGGTCCATGGTATGCGCAACATTCTACGGTAGACACACATTTCAAAGGCCATTATACGCTTTGAATCGGCTTTGTCGTAATATTATGTCGTTATTTTGTTCTTGTTGTAATAAGTTTCTAAAGCATAGGTGGCGATAGGAAATATCAATGCTCGAACAAGGCGTAATTTTGTATTTTTTGTGATGCCAGTGTTCTTCCAAATTTTTGTGAGTTTAGCTGTTGCCGATCTGGCCATTGTGATGCGTCGACGGATCTCGTCTTCGCATCCTCCACTGTTAGTAATAAACAAGCCTAAGTAATTAAATTGCTTGACTACTTCATAACCTGCCATGTTTTTTATCTCTGCTTGGTTGTTTCTGATTCTATCGATGATCATCACTTTGCTTTTCTGCATATTTATTTTCAAACTATATTCCGTACTCACCGTGCGAGTTACGGAGTAAGAATTCCCTAGATTTTTCATAGAATTGAATAAAAATCCCCTTTTCCCTAAGCTGGCTCAAAATTCCCTAGGTATAGGGAAAATTCCCTAGGTCTGGTAACGCTGGCCGACCTCCGTCGCTGAGATGGCACTTGAAGAAGAAGAAAATTTAAACGATACAGATATATTATGTAGGCATATAATATTACTTAAACTTACCCCGACCGCAATATTTCATAACAGAAGATATCTATAATCAATCTAAAAGTTATACAACTGCACTGTGTTTGACACTATCGAACAAAAATAGTTTATCAGATTTAAAACCAACAGTGACATCTTGTAACCAACAGCGAAACTAACAATTGTTCCAGATTTGGAACATGGCAGCAAACGGGTTAATGTGTTTCTATTAGTTTTCTTTGTGGTTACTTTATTTTTGTTAATGCTTTCCCACTTTTTTTCCGGTTCTGATGTTTCTGACTCTTTGTTTAGTGTGCTGGTTATTATTTTTTTGTAATTTTTCTGTATCTTTTAATTATATTTGTTATATCGCGCGCGTATTTCTTCTCTATTAAAATGTAAAAACATTAAACTACTAGGAACAAAATAATCAACTAAAATTCCGTTATAATCAGACCTATGGGATTATCGTTAGTATATTGTTAGACAGTATTAACCAATTTACATCCTTCTTAGGTTTTTTGTCCTACTGCAGCCAATTGGTTTTTTGTACATTCCGTCATAAGTTACTAAATTGAAAGTAATGTTTTGATTCAAATTAAGGAGCTATCATTCATCGACTTTTATCAATTTTGCACCATTACTTTTTTATTTGTATTTAAAACAACTACTTTTGATGTAATCAATTCATAGTAACAAACATCATTGTTTTTTCACTGCATTTCTTTTCTTACTTTAACAGCAAAAGCCATTAAAAAGCAGTTACAAAGAGAAACATTTTGATATTATAACAATTTTTATTTGATTTTAGAAAAGGTACGCAACACCATTGCCCAACCTACCCAATCACCGACATTACCTCTGAAACTGTTGGGGGGAATTTGAGCTGTTCATGGACCGTAAACACAACCCCGCAATACAGACAGTCAAAGCAATTGTTCAAGTAAGTTGTCGATTTTAATCAAAAATAATATTGTCACTATTACTCACAGATAAAATTGGGTAATATTTTTAACACGTCGCATCTTTAAAGATAAACCGTTACTAAACGAAAAAATCGAATTTTACATTAGAACCAAAATAATTTTTTTTCTTTTCTTAATTTTTTATAATCTAAGTGATACTAGGACCGTATTTTTTGTGAGATATGATAGATATATCGTCGGCGAACTGACAATACATTTGCATATAGCAGGTATATATAAAAAGTAAAATAAACGTTGCCAATTTTAAAACCGTTTTCACCTGACTTTGTAATTAATATAGTTTAAGGATTTTATTATTATACATGTATATTACATATTTTTAGCTGAATTTTTTAAAAATCAGTCAGATAGCAGGTTTTGTCACAGATTTTATTAGAGTTAGCAGATACTGCATGATTATTAACTGTTAAATGTGTTTACAAATGTTTATAGAATGATTTGTCAAACTTAACTATCTATACCTTATTCCATTAAGCGGTGCAGGACATATAAACAACGATAAATTTAACAGATAATTGTTAAAGATGTTCCAAATGAGTCTATTCGTTCCGATAAGTAACAGTATAATTATGACACTTTATTATTTTTTTTCTTTTCTCAAATATTCGTGTTTATTGCATAGTAAATAAATTAATGTTATCACTGAATACAAAGTAAGTGAAAAAATACTCCGATTTATAAAATTAATAAATATTTAATGCATAAATGCAAGTAACAGTTCTTCAAAAATATTTAAAAACTAACCGAAATGTCCATCTTTATTTCGTCTGGCGATGTTATCGGCGGTTCATACCGGTTCGGACACGATTTAATGCATAGATTAAGTATATATAAGTAGAGATAGATAGGCAACTCTTTAATACCAAAAATTGCAATGTATACAGCGCCCTCTGCCTGGTTTAGTCATGAACTAAATGGGTAATGACACGGCGGGAATTTTAAACGTTCGAATAAGCTTTGTTGCTAATTATTGTAGTAAAACAAGATTCTACAACATAATGCAAATTATAAAAAATAATCGACAATTGTTTCTTACATTAACATTAACGATTATTTTTTGTAATTTGCATTACATTGTGGAATCTTTTATTGCAATTATGAACAGACTGCACATAATAGGAAAGGAAAGGAAGAAAAACAAAATTCAAAAATTAAAATATTTATTTAAAAAATTAACGACACAATTTACAAGTAACAAAATTATTTTAAGAACGTAATTAAACTAAAACTAGAATATATACATGAAATAACACATATATATATATATATATATATATATATATATATATATATATATATATATATATATATATAGGAATATTATTTTAAAAACTTTTAAGATACTAAACATAAAATAAGCTATATATACAATAAAATTATTTTTAAAGACTGATATCGAATAAGCACACATGCTTTTTGATCGATCCTGACAAATTAGTAAATTTAACTTATAAAAATCAATCATAGAATTCTTTACACTACGGTAACATCAAGTATAATAGTGTTAGTTCAGTGTGTATAGAAAAACATTTTCTGTGAGTACATATTTTTATATAAATAAGTAATTCATAACCAAAGAATTTTATAAAACCGTCAATAAATAATAACAACAGTCATTAATCGACACCAATTATTTGCCGTTAAACAACAACACACGTTACACAAATTCAAGTCCGTAGATTAATTACTCCAAGTGAAAGACTCCTAATATCCACGTAAACAAACAACCGTGTCATAGACAAAATAAAATGGCGTTGTTGTTGTTGGGAATCTTGCGATTTCTGCAAATGCGATGACATGCGCATTTGAAGAAAGTTTTGGTGGCGCCACCTTTCTAGTTTAGTCAAGAATTAAAGAGAATGAACTGGCATTGCCATTAAAGATAACATGCCATGAAATAATGTTTATATTTTCCTGCACCGCTTAATGAATTTTACTATAGTTACAAAAATAAAATTTAAATAGCGTTTAGGTACTATTTCTATCTTGAACTGTTTTTTTTTAAGCTCGATGTGGGGTTTGTATTTCTTCCTTTTGGCATTTGGGAAAATTTTCCTTTGTGTATGGTAGAAGATCATAAAACATGTAACATTATTTTCAAATCTTGTAAGTGACGCCATTTTTTTAGTGATTGCCAAACAATTGTTGTATAGCTTTGAGTAATCTATATTGGTTTCAATATTTTTGGGTCTAACAGGAAGATGCTGAAATTCTTCGTTAAATTTAGTTTAGATTGAATTATTCCTTCGGGATTATACCATAAAGCTTTAATGTCTACAACAAAATTATTTCTACCAGTTTAGATTGTGGAGTACTACTGCAGTTCTGATCTGGCATAATCTTTAAAAAAAGTCGTGACTTAGTTGAATAACTTCATATGGATCAGGTTTTATTCTAGCCTCTTTCTACGCTTTAACATAATCACTTGGTAACGTAATAACCCTATTTTTTAGTTTTCTTTCAATACTGCTATGTACAGAGTCACATTCCATTTGTATGTGACCTTTGGTAAGATATTTTTGCGCAACTGAGACTCTGTACTTAACGGCAAAATTAATAAGTGCGTTCGCCATAACATTGTTTCGGTTTTGAGATGTGCAACCGTCTGAGTAAATTACGATAGGTAGATAAATAATCCATTAAACAAGAAACAAAAGTGGAAGCCTGCAAACCACACTCTACTTCTGTAAACCAGTAACAAGTAGCTTGATGAGTTGTAGTGTTATATATGGTAAAGTTGTGGCATCCCAACTTTGTTTTGAAGTATATTTTAGTGGCATTTAGTGAAGGTGCTACTTTTACAGCTTGCAAGTCCATACAGAGCATAATACATTCTTTCTTATGAGCTTTAGCCTCATTTTCACTTTGTTAATTTAGAGCACTGTTTTTCTCTTCAACATGTTTATTCCATACCGCTTCGTCGATATTATTTTTTTCGTGTTCAATGCATAAATGGCAACGATCTTTTTTGGGGGAAAATAAGGCATGATTCATATCCGTAAACACTTGTTAAAATTTTTTGATGTCCACGAATTGTACATGTTTTTCTTTGCAAACCGTCACATAAAGATTATGCAACTGTTTTATTGTTGTAAATTCTTGTTCCAAATAGAGTTTGTTTGTATCTTTTCTAACATAATGTGGTGAAGGTTGTTTTGGTAGACTCTCGAAAAATATTTTTAAATTTCTGTTTGTCCTCAAAAGCATTTACTCTGTAGTTTTTGTATTTCTGTTTGTATTCCTTTGAGATTGTTGAGGGAGCCTTGTAACTGGCTACCTACATCATGAGAGTTGGAAATCTTTTGATTCCAAGCCTTACTTCAAAGAACTTGTGAATGGATGCATCTCCATAGGTTTAGTTCTTCAGTGACCGTTGAAGGATAAGGATTTTTAATGTGAGCAAATATAGCTCCAGAGAAATAAAATCACCTTTGAGTTTATCGATTTATAATTAAATCTTTTAAGAGTAGAGAGACCCAACACGGCCGTAACTTACTATACAATACCAAATGTACTCTTTATAACACGTAAAATAAACCGTTATGAGAAATTGCCCGATTTCGGCGGAGAGAGAATATTTAACACGTGAATTGCGAGTTTTTAACTACTCGCTGTGATGGCTCCAGGGCCATGTGTAAACTTGAACTGCTCTTACTCAACTGATAAAACACTACATAATGCGTAAAATGGGAATATTACCCCTATTTTATTTAGGTGTGAAAAATATTTAACAGGGTCAGACGTCAAACGCCAGGGTGTCGCGTTCAAACTTGATAAAGTGTGTTCTAGTTATTATACACTAAGAAAAGTCAAAGAATTATATTTTTATTTTATATTTTAAAAACAATATGTTCATTTCTGGAACAATTGTGTTTCAGTAGTTCCGACTACACTATTTTTCAACCAACTCTCTACTGTAAAACGTCCTAAACCAGTGGTACTTAAAAACATATTTGGTCTAGGACCATCGGATTACAATTTTCGTGGACTTCGAAAAGTCATTCGATAAAGAACAGCATGTAAAATTAATGCAAATACTGAAAAATATCGGAATAGACGACAAGGATATTCGTGTCATTAAAAATTTGTACTGGAATCAAACTGCTATCGTAAAAATTGGAGATAACTACACCGATGAAATCCTCACACAACGAGTAGTCAGACAAGGTTGCATTTTGTCGCCAACATTGTTCAATGTTTACTCGGACCAGCTATTTAAAAAGGCACTTGAGAGACAACCATATGGAATAAAAATCAACGGAGAACTACTTAATGTGATTAGATATGCAGACGATGCAGTAATTCTATCAGATAATATGGAAGGTCTTCAAATTTTGCTTTATCATATTCACGAGGTAGGAGAGGAAATGGGCATTAAAATAAACTCAAACAAAACCAAATTTTTAGTGTTTAGTCGTGACCCACATCCCGATGTAAAGCTTCAATTGAACGGAGTCCAAGTTGAGAAAGTTCACAAAATGACATATTTGGGAACTGTGATAACGGACCGACTAGATCCAGACATAGAAATAAAATGTAGAATAGCAATGACTAAAACTACTTTTATGAAAATGAAGTCATTTCTTTGCAATAACCATCTTAGTTTAGAACTAAGGCAAAGAATGGTTAAGTGTTATGTTTGGTCTGTACTTTTGTATAGTGCAGAAGTGTGGACGCTAAAAGTATTGATCATGAACAAAATTGATGCATTGGAAATGTGGGTTCATAGACGAATGCTGAAGATACCTTGGACGGCAAGAAAAACTAAAGAAGAAGTACTAAGGAGAGTCAACAAATACAGAGAACTGCTAAAGACTGTTAAACATCGAAAAATGTCTTATCTGGGACATATAGTAAGGGGAAGTCGATATAAAATTTTACAACTGATCCCCAAAGGCAAAATAGAGGGCCGTAGAGGTGTAGGAAGAAAACAAGTTTCTTGGTTAAAAAACATTCGTGAATGGACGTGAATGGACGTGATACCAAATGCAGGACAATTATGCCATATTGCAGAAGGTCGAGAAGTCTTCGCAATGGTGATCGCCAACGTCGGATAGTTCTGATATGGCACGTGAAGAAAAATATCTTTCAAATTTTAGCGCATAACTTCATAGTTTGAAGTTCTAAACTACAACTAACTTAATGGTCTCACTATTGAATTTAGCAATATTCATTTCTTTACTCTCTACGTAAAAAAAAGAGTGACAAAAGTGTAGAGATTGCTACCATTTTAAAAGTAAATCGTAGTTACGCTGAAAGTAACATATTATGTTAGCATTGTAAAATGTGTTTAAATGTGATTAAAAAATATGTTACACTTTACGAATTAAAACTTTCAAATTACATACCACTTTTCGTCGTTCAGCCGTATTCATACAAATAATCACACTTTTGTTTTAAAATTCTGTGTTTGCTTCTCAGCAGACGTGTCACTGTTGTGTTTAGCATGTCAATCATAATTTTGTTTGGTACCGGGAAAAAAAGCCATCTAGCGTCTAGGATAAGAATTTGATATGCGAGTCAAATTCATCAGGTAGCTTATAAAAATTTAAGAGATGGCATTGATAACTCAATTCTCAAAAAATGTTGTTTAGTAACGGTTTAACATTAAACTTACGACGTTAACTTGAATTTATTCTTTCCTTAATTTAAAATTATTTTTAGGTTTACTCTTCGCATAAACAACACTCTTGGAGAAAGGGTCCAACACTTTGATTTCGACCACTTCAAACACATGCGTCCCAAACCCGTTGAAGATTTATTTGCTACTGCTACATCTCCTAGCTCATTAATTCTGACGTGGCATTATAATTCCAAATTAGATGGTTTTGTAAGACCTCTAGAGGGAGAAATACTGTACACTTGCCAGTTGTATTGCAACCAACATTGGTCTCTTGGAGGTAGATTTAATACGTCAAATGATAGAAAAATAACAAAATATGAATTAAAGAATCTGGAATATCCACACACATTGTATGATATACGTGTCAGGTAGGATATATATCTAGACTTATCATAAACTGTTTAATCACAAATTAACCCCTTAATTTGTAATCTCACATTATTCTTAACTTCTTAATTTTTTATAGTTTCACCGTGTATAAGTTTGCATTATATATATTGCAAAACCATATCGTATGATAGTTTAATAATTAGTTCATTTACCTACAACTGTATAAATTGCCGAATAATAATATTTTCTAATTGAACTTCTTAAGCGTCGCAATTAAGGCGTAGATTAAATTGTATTATAAGCAAAAGTTATGTGGTGTGATATGAACGAAGCAATGACCTAAGGTGCTTATGTATCTATTATGTGTGAGATTATAAATTGGGGGATTTGAGTTCAAATGAACACAGTCAATATTGAGTAGTTACCGAACGAACACCATATTATGTAATTGCGAGTTGCTGTCAATAAATCATCACTTTTACTCCACAACTTCAACATTTATTAACCCTATCATCATCGATCGACGAGAAGCGGACAAAGGGGCATTTACGAACCGAAACGAACTTCACTACTAAGTTCGATATATTCCATAAACTCATCTTTATTTTCGTGAAGAACCTGTATTTCCAGACCTATTTCAATTATATGCTCAAGATATTTTATTTATTTTTATTTTATTATGAACTTGAAATAAAGTTTTGTTTTTTCAGAATAAAACCTTTAGAAGGAGATGAAAAAATGTGGTCAGATTTTGCTTTTGAAACGAAAAGAACACTGAGCGATTTGCCGAACTCTCCACCTTTGGTGAATCAAGGGTCTTTCCAAATAGAAGTGAACGCAATGAATTCGCTCACTCGAGATGTTTACGTTTATTTCCAAAGTGTTGAAGACTATGAAAAAAATGGAGAGAATTTTACATACGAAGTCATAGCTACGCCTCCTTTGGAAATAAAGGAATTAACAAAGTCGTACGCCAAATTCGAAGGTTTGAGTGAAAGGAAGTATATTATTCGGATATGGTCTAAAAATGAAGTTGGTAGATCTATCAATCATTCAGAAATAATAATACCAGAGCACCGTAAGTTTTTATTCGCTTTCTTTAGAATCATACTGAGTTTCTCAATTCAATTATCATAAGAATATAGTTTTCTAACTACCATGTGAATCTTTATATGGAATATTGAATCATGTTTCAGCTTTGGGCGAGCCTGAACAGTTTTTTAAAATAGAAAGAAGCTTCAATACTTACGAATTGCAATGGGAGCCTCCATCACATCACGGATTGATTACAAACTATACGTTGTTTTGGTGCGTCAATGATAGAGAAAGACCTTACCAGTGCAAGGTAAGTTTATAAATTTAGAATAAATAAATGTCTCTCCAAAAACATTAATTTTTGCAAAAAGATCAATATTGCATTAATAAATGTATATTCCCATTATTCATTTGCATTTAATTTTACAAGAGAAATTCATCAATCCGCGTTTTTCTTTTTCTTCCTCAGCTTTTTCCCTTTCGGTTGTCTCAAAGCAAATAAGTCATCTGTTGTCCAAATTCCTGGCTTAAACTTATACTGTTTTTCTATCGATGTCTTCCTCCTTAAACTTCGCTGTACAGTTCTCTCCTAAATTTTCATTATGTGTGGCGTGTACTTTATCCCTCTATAGTTCTTATAATCCTGAATGACTGTTTTATCTTTATACAGTAAAACCATCACGCTCTTCCATGCATTGGGCATCTTTTCTTCCTTATATATTCTACTTATCATTTGCCACAACACATCAACCCCTTTCTCCCCTAGAGCCTTACAAACCCCACAGGTATTCCATACGGTCATACTGCCTTACCATTCTGCCTTCTCTGGTGTTCTTCATTTAGCAACTTTCCAAAGTACTCCGAGCAGTACTTTATATTTCTACATCTGATCTCAAAACTCTTTCATCCGCACTTAGCCCAAGCTGTAGAGAAAAAAAACGTGCATTAATTAGTGCATTTTTGAAACCACCACAGCACACCAACACACCACCAAGCATTTTTTTTCTACTTTCTTGACGTGGTTCACATAATTAAGCCACTGCTCTTTAGATACGCGTTGGTAAGCTTCTTTCTAACCGTTCTTTCTTTAAAATAGACATTGTTTGAAGCCACATACCTTTTCACTTGACTCCACACCATCTCAATCGGATTCAGCTCGCAATGATAAGGCAGTAGTCTTAAAATCTTAACGCTATATTTTTCCGCAATTGTTTCAGTTTTGTACTTGTCGTACTCGTCTCTAAATGCGGCCGTAGTATCCAGTAATTCACTTTTTAGTTAGTCTTCTTCGAAGAAAATGTTCTTTTCGATTAGCCAATCCTTGATTTGCCTTTTGTTCCACAATTTTTTCGGGAAATCAAATTTGCGGGAGTGGTATGATGCGTTATCCAAAACGACAACGTTTTCTTTGTCTTTCGGCAAGTTTGGAATTAACGTCTTCTCAAACCAGTCTTAGTATAAATCTCCGTCCATTTTGTCGTGGTAATCAGCGACTTCCTTCTTGGCCAAGAAAGTTAATTCAGCCCATGGCAAAAAGCAAGTTTAGCTTCCAGCACGAAGAATAAACCGAGGACTTCATTGGATTGGAGCTTTCAGTCCAGTAGAGAGCCCTTTTATGAAGGCATCTCATGGATTCTTGATCGTTATGTTCCTCTATTCCTTTTTTATTGAAGCACCGACTTTAGTCCAAGACTCATCGGTATAAACAAGATTTACACTATCCTTCTTCCTCAATGTTTTTATTTTTCTGAGGTACTTGTGTCTCCAGGATATGAGATCTTTTCTTTCCATCATTATCGAATCTCGACCTCTTTTACCATATTCAAAACCCATGCATGTAGTAGCCTACGAAATGTGGTTTTTGGAAAACCTGTTAGGTCCTCATCATCATTCACTCTGTTCATTATGCTCTCGACGGTTGGTGATATGTTTCCAAAAAAAAAATCATGGACAATTTTCCAATTGTTGTGTGCGCGTATTCCAGTGCTATGATTCTTAAATCTGATCCTGATGCGCCGCTCGGGGCAAACCGGCAACGTGGTCGGTCGTTCTCCCGTTAAGAAATACATTGCCTATCTTAACCTGAGCTACATTCTAACCGTGGCTTTTATTATATCTTTAAAGTTTCTGTTACATTTTCATAATTTTTGATAATATTTTACAGGGTTACTTGGATTGGGTTGTGTTATCAAATACTACATTCAAATATAACATGACTTCGAACGATCACGTCATTCTTCAATTTGCAGTTTCCGCTAACAACGATATAAGCAGTAGTGGTATGCGTTGGGCGGAATGTACAGTATTAGCTAACAAAACTGTGGGCAAAATGAGAAATGTATGGGTAAACAAAGTGGGTCCAGATTTTATTGAGCTTTCATGGAAGTTAGAATGCTCTGATATATTAAGCGAAGTTACTGGTTTTGTTATTACTTATTGCAGTAGTACCAGCACTTTGTCCAAGGCAAATGAGTGTGAAGGAGAAGTAAAGAATATTACTAAACCAGGAAGTTTAAGCACTGAATCTGCTAGAATAACCAATCTTACCCCATATACTACTTATCTACTAGCAGTAAGCGTTAAGAGTACAAATACAGTGAGTCAACGCAGTGATTGGTGTAGAAATGTAACATCACCAACCGCTCCTTCCATTCCTTTAAATGTAACTCCATCAAATGTCACTAATTCTTCAATTACTGTGACGTGGTCACCCCCAGAAAAATTAAATGGTCCACTTAATGCTTATATTATCCGATACAATGATAAAGAAAAGAAGGTAGATGCAATTAACAGAACGAATAAGGAAATTTTAAATGATCTAGAGAGTTATACAAAATACGTGATATACATGCGAGCTTGTACTGGTAATATGTGCTCAGAAAATTCTAAAAATGAAACAGTTGTTACAAAAATGGGAATTCCAGCAAAGATCTCCAGACCATACGTAAACGGAAACTCCGATGAGAATATTATACGCTGGGATAAACCGGATCCACCGAGAGGAGATATAAACTATTACGAGTTAAGTATAACTCGCGATGGTTTCAACATGGAAGAGGGGAGCTTAAAAAATATAACTGATGCCAATAATTATACCATAGAAAACTGTCGAGATGCAGGCCTCCACACGTTCTTTGTTGCCGTAAGAGCTGTCAATATCATTGACGGAGAACATGTTATAGCACCATGGAGTGATACTGTTAAGATATACTGCTATAAATCTTCGTGGTATATATTCATTTACGTATTCCTTGGTATTTGTGGAATGATACTTATTGGAATTGGACTTAAAAAGTAAGTTACTAACATTACTTATAACTGTTAATTTAACATAACATTACAACTAATGCTTTACGTTTCGGTTTCCACTCCGGAATTCGTTTAAAAAAAAAAAAAATATTTTACAAATTCTGGGAAAATATATAATCAAAGTTGATTATTATGATGAATTATGAAAATACATACAACCAAAATTATATCGAATCACCATGTATTTTAAACCAATATTTATTTCTTTTGAAAAAAACTTATTGTTGCGAAGAATAAAGGATTTAATTTAAAATTAATAAGCCGATAAAATCATCAGATATCACTGCTCGGTACGTTATAGATTACTTGCCTTAGTTGTAAATTAAACGAAAATAAATAAACTTACTTTTGCGAACAAAAACAACAATATGCCTTATGTGGGGTTAACGCATGTGCAAAGGGGAAAGATTATTGGTCTTATATAGACTAAGAAAAAGTCGCCAAAGATCGTTTCACTGTCCAAGTAGCTAGAAGAGACACAACAATTTCTCACCTATAGCTCCAAAGACAACTTTTGGAAGCTAAAGGTAAAATTGTTTTAGTTAAAACGGTAAGAAAAAATCTTCGTACCCAAGGAATATACAGCAGTAGAGAGTTACGGGTTCTCGAGTTATCCAGGCTCGAGACTAATCGCATTAATTTTTATCTTCAAAACCAAACCTGAAACATTAAAAAAGGCGCTAGTTTCAGAGAAAACCAGGATTTGTGAAAAATTAGACGACCGACGATTTCTTGTACTTAAAGGGCGAGGAATACAAGCAAAAACCGAAATTTCTAGAGTTCACATATATAAAGAAGGATATGTCATGTGTCATGTTCTGAGGAGGCATTATGATCAGTACAAAAACTCCTTTAATTTCGATCCAAACAACTTTGACAGCTCGTAGGTATGTTAATTTGGTTCTAAAACCTGTAGTTAGACTCTGTAGAGGTGCAATAATGCATCTCTGCATACCAGCGGAGTGACTAGACGACCTTGAAGCAAAATATATCACTGTTATGGAGTGGTCTGCTTGCTTACCTAACCTTAATCCTATAAAGCAATTGTAGGATATCCTTAAAAGAAGAAGTAGAGCTCACCGGGAGAATCCAAAAAACACCGTATAGCTAGTACAAGGTATTCTTAAAGAATGAAACAAACTACCACAACAAAATATTGACAATTTGTTTAGGAGCGTGCCCACGCGAATTTAAGCTTGAATAAGAGGTAGGGCAGTTACACTGACTACTAAAAAACATAAATAAATAAAAACAATTTAAACATTAGTCGTTTTATATTGAAAATTTGTATGTTCTTGACTTTAAATCAAATGGTTTCAATTTATTATTTCAAGAGTTTACTATTGTATTTCATTTTTATTTATTGGTGACTACATTGCTTTAAAATAAATATTCTTTGACTTCGCATGTTGTTTTTTTAAATTTGCTTAAAATAATAAGAAATGTCAGATACTTCCATATAAGTTTGGTTGTGTGTATATTACACTGGCGTGCAAAATTAACCGGACACTTAGATTTTTTTGTTTTTTGTTGGTGTTTAGATCAAAACTTGTTTATTTTGATTGAATTGTATTGTATGTCATATTAGCGATAACGTTTTACTTCTTGTTTGAAGCTGTTTAGATGTTTTGTGCGAACAACAACACTTTTATACATGCGTTTTGTTATTAATGTGAAATAGTGGATTAGTAGTATTTAAGTTTATTGTGGTACTATCCCTGATTATAAGGTTGGCTGTAGGTTTTTGTATGGTCTCCTATTTAAAACTTACCTTAAAAAAATTATGACACAGGAAGAAGAAGGCCCAGCTGTTGCTTTACAGAATGATGGGCGGAGCATTCGTTAGGTGGTATTACATAATGATGGGCGGAGCATTCGTTACGTGGCAAATGCTTTAGGAATTTCTCGAAGTAATGATGAAAGTTTGATGCTACACAAAGATTTCGGGAAACAGGAAAATACACCAGGAGGTCAAGTCAAGGTAGACGAAGAACTATAAGTTACGTTGAAGATCGCTTTCTTAGGTTACAAGCGTTACGTGATCGTACATTATTAGCATCAGTGCTTGTTCGATGATTAAAACATGTCAATAAAAACACAGTTTCCGTTTATACCATTCAAAGACGCTTTAATGAATATGGATTAAGGTCCAGAATACCTGTCAAGGGACCTCTATTAACAGCAGATCATCGGAGGCAACGTTTACACTTCGCTGACAAACAGCTTAATTTGGGTGTTGACTATTGGACTGCTGTGCTTTTCACGGATGAATCAAGATTAACAGATACTCATCAGATGGACGGCCTAGAATATGGAGAAGAGCTGTTGAACGTTTCTAACAATGTTGTCTTACTCCGAGAGTTCAATTCGGTGGAGGTGTTAAAATGGTGTGGGCAGGCATTTCCCTAGAGGCTTATACAGAACTTGTTACAATTCAAGGGGGCAATTTGAACGCTCAACGGTATATTCAGCATTGTTTGGAACATAATGTAGTGACATTTGAACCATTTGTTGGAGAAAACTTTCGTCTGATGCAAGATAATGCTCGCCCATACATCGTAAGAATTATAGGGGATTACTTTGATTCAGTTGGGATTCGTTTATTACCATGGCCTCCAAGGAGTGCAGACTTAAATCCAATAGATCATGCATGGGATATTCTGGAACGACGTATTCGACATGACTATGGTGATTTTGAAACCATGAAGATTTGGAGTAAGCAGTTCGTGAAGAATGGAAGTAAATCTCTCAAGACTTAGACTTTGCTGCCTTAATCCGAAGTATACCTGATCGGATAAGAGCTGTAATTATTGCTTTTAGATCATGGGGATAATACACTCTACGAAATATCGTTTTCCATAAAAAATATTCATATATTTAAAAAATATTTATTTTTGTTTCGTTGCAAATTTTCAAATTTTTTAAATTGTTTATTGTTTTTTCTGTGTAACGTTCTTGAGTTGTGATAAATTTGACTTTTAAATTTTGTTTTTTAGTAAATACTCAATTGGGAACATCTTAAACTTTTTTAAACGCTAGTTTTTAAGAAAAATCTGGGTGTCCGGTTAATTTTCCACCGTAGTGTATATTAACAGGCCGTTAAGATCCAAGGCATTTTTATAAAATTCATTCATAAAATAACCAATTACAGAATCCATATTCTTGACACTCCCCAGCATATTTAGTAATTTAATAATGGAATGTTTAAATAAATGGACCTCAAATACATCAAAACACAATCCCCTAGTAATTCCTTTTGTAGAATTACAAATCTCTTTATATAAGTATTTTTGTCGTTAATAACTGAATAAAAATTATCCAAATACCAAAAACAACTCGTAAGCATCTTTAGACATCACCATTATATTTTTAAAATAAATTTTTTTATCAAAATATTCATGTGCAAATGCAAACAGTTTCTTGTTAAAATTTGAAAACCGCGCTGATTCAAATTTTGTTTTGGTGCGGGACATTTTGATCGTGAAACGGAACGCAATCGGTGTGAAATTTGTTTTGTAGTGAACATTCCCCTGGTAAATTTTTTTAACATTTCAAGAGGTTTTAATACAGTTGATTAGTTGATCTTTGTTGTAAAATTCTTGAATTTCATCCTTCCTACTCTGTTTGGTTGGATTTTGTTAATGCATCTGGAGTGATATGATGCATTGTCCATAACAATCACGCTATTTTCTTTTAAATTTGGGAGTAATGTATTCTCAAACCACGATTCAAAAAGCGTCCCTTCGATGTCTTGGTGGTAGTCTAGAAAACAGTCTTTAATACGTTTGGAACTCAACAATAACGCATCGTTTACCCGTCCATGTTGCCCTCCTCAATGTAGTATGCGAATTAGCTTGCCTTTAGAACGGGATACATCTATTTGGCATTTTCTTGTACCGTTTGTCCAGGCTTTATCTATCGTTTCGTGAGAATCAAACCAAGTCTCGTCCAGATAATAAATTTCTCGACACTGACTGCGGTATTGTGAAATTTTTTCGATATATTCAGTCCTCGGTTTTATTAGGCGGCTACTTTCCATTATGTTTTGTCTCTTATTGACAGTTTTATATTTAAAACCATTTTTGGTTAAAAATCTTCCCAATGTCGTGGAACAATCATCAATAATATGTTTTTCTTTTAATTTTGCCATGATATTGTTTAGGTTAGGCATAACTTTATAGATTTGATAATACAGAAATTGAACAAATATCTTCGTACAAATACCTTGGAGCATGGATCACAGAAGATACTGATCCGACAAAAGAAATAAGATGCCGCATTGAAATTGCGCGGTCAACTTTTAATAGAATGAGAAAACTTTTTTGTAATCGCGATATCAATATATCGCTCCGGATAAGAATGCTTCGATGTTATATTTCTCTGCCCTTTTGTATGGAGTTGAAGCTTGGACACTTAAAAAATCCAACATTAAAAACCTATAAGCATTCGAAATGTGGTGTTACCGACGTATTTTGAAAATATTATGGATGGATCGCAAAACAAACGAACAAGTTCTCGAACAACTAGAAAAACAATGCGAAGTTTTTAAATTCCATAAAAATCAGGAAAATTGGAATACTTGGGGCACATCATGAGAGGTGAAAAGTAACGAACTACTAAGGAATATAATGCAGAGTAAAATCAAAGGTAGAAGAAGCGTAGGAAGACGTAAAATCTCGTGGCTACGCAATCTCCGTAAATGGTTTGGATGCAGTTCAATTGAACGATTCAGGCGAGTAACCAATAAAACTATAATTGCCAGAATGATTTCCAATCTCCGATAGGAGTGGAACTTGAAGAAGAAGAACTTTAGCTGCACACATATTATATATTGTCTCACTAATAGTTTCCAAGAGGTGAGGTTGAGTTTTTTTAAAACCCAAATCCTTTCTTGTTGTTCTACTGTTCGAACCTGTCTTTATTCAACGGTACACTGTTGCACAAGAAATTTTTGTTAAAACCGCCGTTTGCTTAACAGCTTCATATTTGGTCATTTTTTTATAACGTCCATCAAATACATCTAACACCATATTTTGCTCAGCTACACACAAATTCTTCCTTTGCTGAGTACTTGGCCCCGCACTTTCATCTTCATCTTCTAAATTATCCGTAACTTCATTTAAAAAAAAAATTTGTTAAAATCCTTTATAAAAGGTATATAAAATTGCCTCAAACGGGCTATCACAAACACATTGCAAAACGTTTTCGGATTAAACAATCCATCATCAGTGCAAACGGTTGTACATGCTAGTAGCCACCAAAATATGTGGGTAAAAACCCCTTAAAAGTTATAAATTTGAAATTGTTTTACATTATTAGTGTTTCTAAATTGTGATGGTTAAGTTACCGTTGGATAGGTAACATGGTGGCGTATGACTCTACATGAGTAAAATGGTCCTGAGACGAAGTGCCTACGAGGACCTGTTGATAACAACTCTGATAACAACTGAGGAGTTGTTATCAACAGGTCCTCGTAGGCACTTCGTCTCAGGACCATTTTACTCATGTAGAGTCATACGCCACCATGTTACCTATCCAACGGTAACTTAACCATCACAATTTAGAAACACTAATAATGTAAAACAATTTCAAATTTATAACTTTTAAGGGGTTTTTACCCACATATTTTGGTGGCTACTAGCATGTACAACCGTTTGCACTGATGATGGATTGTTTAATCCGAAAACGTTTTGCAATGTGTTTGTGATAGCCCGTTTGAGGCAATTTTATATACCTTTTTATAAAGGATTTTAACAAATTTTTTTGTGATATATGGTATACAGCCAGCTACAGGAACTTAGTTTCCTCGTGGAATTTTAACTTCATTTTAGTCAGGTAAACGCACATCACTTTCCCGTGGAAAGAACCACAAAATATACATGCTTAAGAATGACTAATTCCGTTATTTAAATATTGTGACAATGATCCCGCCCCATTTAATAATTCTAAGAAAATGTACTTATTAAGTACTTAGCCATTACCGGCAATATAAAATTGTAAATTTGTATTTAGGTCAACCGCAGGAATTTCTCTTTATTTTTAAATGTTATTAACAAAGACATCATATTTTTGATAACATTTTACAAAAATATTTAATGACGATGATTTGGAATAAGCTTTACTACTTTTTGTGTATATCAATAACAAGTGTTCATTATTCATTCAAAAATATTTTATTTTGTCAGTCCTAAGTTTAGAAAAAAGGTGAACGCAAGTATTTTTTTAATAGTATATTACGAGATTGTTTACTGATAAAAACCATTGTTCCGATTAATTTGTAAAAACATTAAAAAAAACTAATAATTCAAAATTCAACGCTGCTCCGGTAATTTTATTTGAATGTTGGATAAAGGTTAGTACAACTCTGTAATGTCTCTCTAGGGGCGTGTGTTACAATAGGTATCAATAGCGGATTATCAGCAGGTTGGTTCCTGCTGTTCTCCCTCAAGAGCTCTTTTCATAATTTCTTCAGAGTATGCATTGAATAGTAGTGGTGACAATACACACCCCTGTCGCACTCCTCTTTTAATTTTGAACTCTTCTGATGATGTGTGTTCATTAATACCTATGTGTGCCTGCTGTTTATAATATAGATTTGTTATAGTTCGAAGATCCATTAGCTCTTTGCGGCGGACTTTATCGAAAGCCTTGTTTTAATCTATGAAACAGACGTACATATCTTGTTTACATCCAAGCATCTCTGGACTAGTAGAATGCAAAGAGAGCTTCACGGGTACCTACGGGAATCCAAATTGGGTTTCTTCAATGTCCATATCAAGTATTTGTTAACTGCGTTTATGGATGGTTTTTAAAAACATTTTAAGTGTGTGAGATATCAGGTTTATGGTGAGGTGGTCAGTGCATTCTCTAGCATTTTTCTTATTTGGGAGACAAATAAATGTTGAGGTCAACCATTCATTGGGCATGTCACCCGACTGATAAATTTCATTAAAGAGCTTTAAGAGGACAGCCATGTACTCATTTTCTATTATTTTAAGAATATCATTAGGCATTAGATCTGGACCCGGGCTTTTTCCGTTTCTGGTGTTGTTTAGTGCATATAATATTTCTTCCTTTGTAATTTCTGTACTTGTTTCTCTGTCCTCAAAAGGTATTTCCATTTTATACCTTTTTATGTAGGTTGAGGTCGTAATTGTTCTGAAGAACTTATATCTTTTTTACATTTTTCCTCATTTTCTTTTAAAGTATTATGTCAACCTAAAATATCGGTTGTGATAATTAATTAGCAGAAGTAGTGTTTTTTGTTTTTTATAATTTATTATGACTTACTTTAAGGTCTTAAAAAAAGTTGACACCATATATTTTTACTATTTACTAGTTTTGAAACTATTTTATGCTATTGTTATGTTTATATTTCTATTACCATATTTCATAGAAGTTAACCAAAATTTTAATGTAAAATACATTTGATTTCCACTTGGGAAATTATTCTCAAAATAGAAATTATTTTGTTTTATAACTTGATAATAACAATTCATTGACAATGAATAATTGTCATTATAATGAGGAAGAAAAAATTAAATTATGAGGGTATTTTGTATTACGATACGCCAAAACGTATTTTTATTTAAATGATTATGTGAGCAATTCCAATGAAATATATTACAATGATTTATTTTACTAATATATGAGTTTTGTAGGCTTTACATGTGTTGGAATATCGCAAGACACGTTGAAATTAAACTACCTCCTGGTCTGGCACCAGCTGTAGAACATCACAACGAGAAAAATATGGATATTATAGAAAGAAATTTCACTCACGATCCAGATGAAGAACTTCTTCTGGAACGAATGAATGAAAAGTGCCAAGCTGTTGATTCCAGCGGATGCAGTTCGGGTCAAGAAAGTATTAGCTCTTCAGTTGAATCTACTACACATTTGTCTGTAGATTCGGGCACTGATCAACCTAGAAATGTATCCGATGATAATAAAGAGAATTCATTAAGGCTAAGAAATGTGTCATCGAAAGGTAAAGTATTTTTTATTATTTTCTGTGCCTTTATGCAAACTAATTATGTTAGATGTTTGTTTTACAGTTTTAACTGATTTAAAAGGTAGTTAGTTAGTAAATTAGCTAAATTAGCTTTATTGGCTGTACTGTCAATGTATGTTGCTCTTTGTTGAAATTTCCCTTAGTAGCCCTTTTTCCTCACTTATGATTAATTGGTCTTTTTCATACTTTCATAGTGGATCTCGAATTACAATTATTTCCTTTAATATATTTAAATTTATATTGTGTATTTAATTATTTCATGTGTTGGTAAGATTGATTTATTCTATTTCTTCATCCTCAGCTTTTCCCTTTCCAGGGGTCGCTGTTCCTTACTGCCTTGTCTCTTCTAGTCTTACCGACATCCACTAACATTTTCATTTCAGCTAACTCCATCTTCTCTTCGTAGAGAAGACTCGGCTCATTCGCTTCCAGTTTAACCAATCAGCCTGCACCTGTGGGTATTTTCTCGATCTATTGTCCAGTTTTCCGTTATGTAGGACACAAGGTATTGAAATTCTTCTACTCTTCCTAGTTTTTCCTCAAGTAATTCGGTGTCTCCATCCTGTTCCTGTTTTGACGCAAACCAACTATCACTGGAAAACTTTCAGTCAGTTCATAATTTCTTACATTGTCGCCTACTGCCTCATACACATCCTTCAGCCTTACATACCTCTCAGGAATCCATTTTTATGTCATACATCTTCATGGATTTTGTCTAGGGACTGTGTCGTACGCCTCCTCAAGATATATAAAGACCAAAGGTAGCTCTCTCTTCTTCTCTTAGTATTTCTCTATCAACTGTCTATAAGCAAACAAGGCACCCATTGTCCTTCTTCCTGGCATAAACCCAAACTGCTCTGTTATTGATATCCCCGCCGTAAACCTTGGTTCTACAGTTATCTCCCAAATTTTCATTGTATGTGACATTCACTTTTTCCCTCTATAGATCTTACAGTCCTGAATGTGGTCTTAATCTTTATCAGTGATTCCATCATGCTCTCCCATACATTGGGCATCCTTTCTTCCTCATATATTCTAATCATTATTTGCCACAACTCAGCAACCCCTTCTTCTACTAGAGCCTTTCAAACCTCCACAGCTATTTCATCAGGTCCTACTGCCGCACCAGTCTTCATTCTATTTCAAGCCTCGATAATCTCATCTCTCGTTATCCTCTGCATTATATTCTCATTTGGGGTTCCACATCCTCTGTCTCTTCTCCGATATTCTTCGTTTAGGGTAATTCCCCGTCAACTATGCAAAGTTGGTCAGGCGACTCTTCTCGATTTGGTTTAAATTTTAAAGGTGTATTCCTTATAAAATATGATGATTTACCAAATTTCAGCCTTCTATGTCCAAAATGCGGTCTATATGGGCAATAGAATAAGTATAGAATAAAAAGTATTGAGTCATATCATATTATGTAGCAATTTCTAACAATACTAAATTGAAATTTAGAAAAATGACATTGAAAATGTATTTTTGAAGAAAAATGATAAAATTCGGGAAACATTTTTTTACTTGAAAAAAATTGCATTACTTATATAGACCGCTATTTTGGACCTAGAAAGCTGAAATTTGGTAAAGCATCATATTTTATGGTATAGAATACGCCTTTAAAATTTAAACCAAATAAAGAGGGCTCGTCTGACCAACTTTGCATAGGTGACGTGGAATTATCCTTTGCACTTTTCAGAGGATATTTTGTAGCTACTCTTCTTTCCTCTTTGCTACCATTAGTAGTAGTAGCTACTCTTAAAATTTAATTTTATACTACATTGTTTTAAAACCTTAACAAAAATTGTTAACTTAAGTGACGAAAGTTTGCTGTGAAAAAAAAAATGATTTATGTAATATAATTGGTATTTGTTTCATAGGATACGTGATGTATGATCCAACGCCACCAGTAAATAGAGGAACAAAGCCTCCACCAGCTCCTGCTGGAAGTTATTGTCTTATTGGAGTAGATATAACTCCTAAACCCAACCCAGATACTCCCTATGTTACAGTAAGTGATGTAGAGCAACCGGTTCTTTCCTATGGTGCAAATGAGCCATTACCTGAAGGCCCTCCACCATATGTGGTAACCGATATCTTCAAAACAACAAACCCCGGATATGTGCCATTCACCCCTATGGAACCCGCTAACAAAAATACGGGATATGTAGTGGCTGGGGATTTGACGTCTCTGCCTGCTCCAGAAGCCCAGAAAGAGTTCATGGTAGCTGATCCACAGGTAGCGCTAAAACCCACTACAGTATGGCAAGAGCCACTGTTGGAACCCTCCTCGCTTCCTAAGCCAGGCTACGTGAGTGTGGGTGATGCTCTTCCTCCCATAACTGTCAGAGAAGCCAAAGGATATGTCCCCCATAGACATTTTGAAAAGACACTAAAAGAAGAATAGTTCACGCATTCTTGAGACTTTTATTTATACTTTAAATCTTATAACCTAATTTAATGTTAAAGTAATTCAACATAATTGTTAAAAAGTGTTCCTCAAAGCCATTTTTAAATTAACGCAATATATATTTTAAGAATGAATTGATTTTCGTATTGAATTGTTTTAGTATGATCTTTTTTATTTGAACATGTGGAATTTATATCATACTACCTCCTTAAAAGCTCAAAATTTGGTATAAAGGGCCAAGGAAAATATACTTGTAGATGAAATTGTAAATTTAATCCACAGCCTTGTTTAAAGTTTTTTGCTTTTAGAATCAAGGGGTTTGTCTCATGTACCACCTCTACATGTGAAAACTTATAACAGAATCCAACGGAAATTAAAATAATTTCTCGTTGTGAATATTTTTATTTTTATTTATCGTATAAACGTATATTTAATCTCTAATAATAGTGTAAAGTGTAAACATTACACTATTATTTTATAATCACGTTCCATCCCTTTTTATTCTTGCTAGAGGTGGAGAACTATCGATAGCCATGGCTTCCGTTAATTATCGATAGTCTAACACGTCATTTTGGATCATTATCGATAGTTTTCGATAGTAGGAGAGTAAGAGTAGAATAAGAAAGTATGTAAAATAATGGAATAAATATATGTCAATGTTTATTTTGGTAAAATTTTGATCATCTAAACAAATGTACAACATAACATATTTTTTTATTGTTTTACTTACTTTCCAAAACAGAAGCGGATCAGTCTCTTCATTTGAGTTGGGTCTTTCCAGATATTTGATCAAATGAAAAGGCAGATATCGAGCACAGTTTATTAATTAAATATTTTTAAAATACTCTCTCTTCCTAGAGCATCTTCAGTCAATTTTGGCCTATCCAACGATTTGTGGAGGATGTCGTAAACATAAAATTATGTATTACACTACACTACGCAAGGACAAACAGTTTAAAATTTTTAAAAGGAGAAGCTACATTATGGTTGGCATCAGGAGAGATACTCAGAGAATGTCAACCATAATGTAGCTTCTCACCTTTAAAAATTTTAAACTGTCCTTGTGTAGTCTAGTGTAATGTACAATTTTATGTTTATGACATTCTCCACAAATTGTTAGATAGGCCAAATTTTCCAAATGTCCCTGAAGATGCTCTAGGACGCGAAAGTACTTGGGCAAGATTTAATTAATAAACTGTGCTCTATATCTGCCTTTTCATTTGATCAAACAAAGTTCATTTATTCGAGCATTCAACCTTATATCAATTTCCAGATATTGCCTTTTAATAATTATTATAGCGTCAGCTGGGTTAGATTTAACTTCTTTATTTTTTGGTCCAATAAATGAAAATAAAGACTTCTTAGGCAAAGATTTAGTCTCGCCATCTCCATTTGGACTATTTTTTTTTCAGCTTCCTTTTATTATTATTTTTATTATCCTTTGCTTCCCAGAGTTTATTTTAGTTGCAATTCTAGTACTTGATCTTTTTTCGTAAATAAATAACCTGAAGTTCTATGCAAAATTGTGTTCAATTGTGCAAAATATGATCAGCTAAGCTTTATGTATTGCCGCTAGTTTTATACTCCCACAAGTTAAACATTTAGCTAGTTTTCGGTCTATAGACCTTTTAAAATAATTTCACACTGTGGAATGCATTTTTTTTCTTTGATTTAGAACTTTTCCCCAAACTAAATCTACTTATTCAGGTAATGAAATTGAGTTTGTCCTTTTGTTTCCTCGTTTTTCTTTAGTTACAAAGAGTATTTCTATTTTTAAAGAAAAATTACCTGCATTACACAAAGTTAAAGAAATAAAAAAAAGTGTAGTATCGAAAACTATCGATCGTCGAAAAAATATCGGTCACAAACGATTGTCAATACTATAGTTCTCCACCACTAATTCTTGTATCACTTCGATATACTCAGACATCAATTGTCTTGTCAATTAGCTACATAAATCGAGAAACCGTTGTATATTAATAAGTAGCATTCATCATTGTCAATTTGAAAATTGGAATTAACATTTCTGTCGTTGGTTTCATAATTTTAAAAATAAGAATATTCACGACCGCTCTTCTTTGGATTCTGATTGAGTTTATATCCATGAAAATGTATCTGAGGTGCAAAGTGTTTGTAAATACAGTTTTAGGTAGTAATGTGGATAGATATATTTTTTATCGCGCTTTTACTCTAAACAGTAATAGTGTACGTGATTGTGGTGTATTGAAGTGCCTTAACTGACTGATAGAATTGATGGGGCACGTGGACCTGATCAGTGAAAAGAGAACTTGCCAGATTAGTTTTAGCTGCTTTGTTATTTCCAGTAGATCTTATTGTAACGGGAAACCCTTTTGTATAAATTAAAAACAGTACACACAAAACTTCCATTCAATCGCAAAGTTTTCAATACGCCACATTAGCCGTGACGTCAACATATCGATCATCGTCCAGTTTCTACCCATTCCATGTGAGTTACAATTTATTATAGTCTTTATTTCCAATTCGACTTATTTGCGATATTTTACGTCAATACAATGTTAATTCTAGTGAGGGAACAAGACTTTATATAATAAAAACAACATATTTACTTCTAGACTTTAGACAATAAAAGAAAATAAAGCAATAATCCTTGTGCTACTTAAACAGCTACTTATCGCATTTACTACGTTCTTAATTGCAAGATAAGTTACACATTTATTTATTAAAGTGTTGTGAATTATTTGAAAACCATATTTTTAAAGTATTTACATTAAAATATTTCCGTGACTAAAATATTTGCTTAGCGGTGACTATGAGAGTAATCTGTCGCTAATTCAATGCCTTTTTCCCTATCCAAAAATTGCACAACGTCGCTGAAGTTTTCACTTCAAAAAAATATCAAATACAGACTTCAGCCTCAAGTTCTTTAAATTTTAAACTGATATATACCAGGGAACTAAGGATATTTCAGTGATATTCGTTGATGTACAGGTATCTAACAAGTGCTTTTGATAAATTTGTTGGTAAAAATATGTAATAAACAAAATGTGCCAAAGATTAATCGTCATTTTTTACTTATAAACAGTATATAAACTATGATCCTTAGTCCTATTTGATTTTAAATACTAAAGGTGAAGATTAGTTTATATATTTTCCACAATTAATTTGTCTTTTAATGCGCATTTAATTCAGACTTAATTTTTCCGTCCAGCTCCAAACAGTTAAAACACACGTCTGTTCTGGAACTTCCAAATCCCAAATTAAACTTTGTATTGAATACATGACGAAAATATGAGAGCTTACAAAGAGTATTTGGATTTGACTCTTTGTACATCCTGTACATTTTGGAGATATTGAGTTTAGAAGGTAAATATTTTCGAAGTCTTAATAAATTGTATTATATTACCTCTCATACTTTGAAACTTCGTTGTTTTTCTATCACCACCTCTAGTTTCAGTATGCATTTCTCCGGTACGATGATAACGATGAAGGACTCCTCTTATTCGGCCTTTCTTTATCAAAAGTATTTTTAAAAATGTACTTCTGCATACGGGTATAATTTGTGCTTCACAAGTTCAAACACAATATGTAAATGATAATAATCGTTCATAACCATGTCCATTCACAATACGTTTTCGGTGAATTAGAATTGCCTTGCAATATTTACCAATGAAACTGTCTTGATAACTTTTCGTTTTTTGTTCATAAAAAGCATCATGGAATTGTTTTATATCTCGCATCGTAATCTTCTGACAACAGTAAGCCTTAGAATTATTTACTAAGTTATCTGTTCTGGCAATGATGAGGCAGAGTATCTGTAAAAAAAAATTTATAAATAATATTTGAAACCAGAGGGATACCATTATTAAATTATAAGATTTGTTCCAACCCGTCACATTACCGTTCGTGAATGGTTACGAGTATGAGCAGTAACACATTTTTCGTTACTGAGCATACTCGTAACCATTCAAGAACGGTATTTGTGACGGTTGGAACAAACCTATTGTAGACATTATTTTAAACGGGATTTTTTTGTTGTATATTTTAAAACTCATCAAACAAAACATAAAAACAAATATCTGTTTAGATTGATTTAGTACATCCCTAAATTGGTCTAATGTTTTAATGCAAGAAGTTTCGCGTATAAAATAATTTTGAGTACAGCCCTGCTTTTAGTATACAGTTGTAAGATGGAAAGCCCGCGTGATCGTTAATCGACAAGTACCAGATAACTGATTCAGAATGGTATATTCACGTTAGCAAGTTCCGAGTTACTATTGGTCGAAATGGACTTGCCCAATATTGAAACTGAAATTGTCAGGATTTGACTAAATTTGAACATCATACTGATTTTTATAGGCAATTTGTAATCGGTAATATGGATTTGCCCGGTATTGAACATTACTATTCTGAAGACTCGTTTTCAAGGATTTTACCCACCCTAAAAGTACATTTTCTTAATTTTTGGACTTGATCAATTTTGACTCCAGGGTACAGAAATAATTTAATTTTATAAACTAAGCCTTTCTCTTTAATTTGGTGGTTTCAGAATTTATTTAGACCTAATAGTTTACGCATTAATAACATCGTAGTAGAGGTAGGGCCACCTGGTGCCGGGAATATAATTAATTTATTTAACTATGAAACTGTGATTTAACATATGAACCTGTTTATAATACAAGTGTTTTAGAGTACGGTTTCTGGGATTATTCACAATTTCTGCTAAAATTGAATTTAAACCATCCTTCGTCAAGTCAAGGTCGTTGACCTTCGGATTAAAAGTGGTTCAACTTTACCTAATATGATGTACGATTTACGATAAAAGCTCTCTGGGATAAACAATTTTAATTTCGCAATGAATGTTAAGTTAAATTTTAATAACTGAATACATGTGCCTATAATCACGCAAAATTATTTTTTTTTGTACGTTTTTAGAAAAATTATTAATAATTTTCAAAAAATTGACTTTTGACACTATTTTTGCAATAATTTAGCAGCAAATTAACAAAAACAAATGTAAAAGTAAAAAATGACGCTTCATCTGTCTCATATTTTTTTGAAGCGCTGATTCGTATAGTACAATTAAAATCTAATCTATTATGAAATAAAAGATGGTAAATAGGTACTTCGCAGACACTTTTACTGTCCTCACTATATTTTTAATGCTTTATTGCAATAAAATATTACAAATAAGTACAAGAAATTGGTTTAGATATATTTTTTATAATAAGTGGTTCAATATAACAGTGACTAATGTGGCGTATATTAACTTTCTTGTTTTTCTTGATCAATTTTGTAATCATCTCCAATTGACCAATAAAACAAAAACAGTGTTACCACTTGCGCTCTGTGTACAAATAATGGGTGTTTTGTTACTACTGGTAGAACATTAACCGACTGAAATATTTTGGAAATTAGATATACAGGCTGTTCAGTTTTAGAGAACATAAACCAAAACAAGAATTTTGTTTCATGAATGTAGCTTTTGTACACTGCCTTTTTTACACTACCTTGTAATAGGTCTGCTCAATCTTACGGTCGTCTGTTTTGTAATACTGTCTTTTGTATTTGGCTAAGTGTAGACGTTTGTAGGTTTCACGTACCGATTGGTTTGCTCTCTAAAATTACTCTTATCTGTTTTCCTTAGTTTACTAGAACCTTTTTGGCTGTATGTTAAAAACCGTAAACAGTGTCGGAAAATAAGTTTAAACAGTGTTAACAGTTTTTTTTTTTTGATTATTTTCTGGTTTATTTTGTTTTGATTGTAATAAGCATTATCGCTTGCATGAAATTTCTGTTGCTTCTTCAAGTTATGATTTATACAGTATCGAAAAGAATTTAAGGTAGGTATGCGCTTACTACGGTAGGAAATGAGTGAAAGATATTTAAAACGATTCATCGATTATTAGTAGGTCGCGCCACCTTAGATTATTGTACTTACTTATATTCTGTTGAACAAAAAATAACAAATTAGAAAAAATAATACAAACGAACAAAT